CATGTATTAAAGAGTTGACAGAACAACTGGCCCACACACACATGACCGTGAACCAACAGATCCTCTTGCTCATGAGCACAGGGTAACATAAAGGATGACAGATGGCCACGTAGTGATCATAAGACATGAACCCAAGAAGAAGGGCTTCAGTTCCACCAAGGACCAAGAACACAAATGTCTGAATCTCACAGCCTAGAAAAGTGATGGTCTTACTATTGGACAGAAAGTTAACTGCCATCTTGGGCACAGTGGTGGAGATGTACATCATGTCGATGAAAGAGAGCTGACTGAGGAGAAAGTACATTGGAGTGTGGAGTCTGGGGTCCAGTCGAATGAGAAGAATCAGTGTGATGTTCCTCGTCAGAGCCACTGAAAACAGGATGGCGATGGCAATGAAGAGGAAAGAGTCCATTGGACCATACTGGAAAAGACCGAGAAGTGTAAAATCTGTTTCAACCGTTTGATTTCCTGTTTTCATGTCTTAAATAAAACTACCAAAGCTGACAATATTTAAGAATTCCATGTAGCAATACTGACTTCCCTTTAAGAGAAAAAAATGTTTATTAAATGTAAGAAAATTTTCTTGAATCATGTAGGTGAGTATATCTTCCTCTACTGAATACACTTGAAATCTTTGTCTATTAAACAATAGCCACTTAACAAATTCTAAAGTAAAAAATTACTGAATGTATAATTAATTATATTTTGGAAATTAAAGTAAGATACACATTGAGCTACTTGCTCACATAAATTATTTTTCTGCCTTTGTAAACATCTTCAGGGTGATACACGGTGCTGTATTCTCTAGCTGTGAGCATAGTCTTCTACTGAATTCAATCATATAAGTAATGAAATTGTTGTGACAGACTGTCATATATAATTTTTAAGTATTTACTGCATTTCTCTATTTTGACTTTATATTGGTTAATAATTTGTATAAAGTATAATAACACATTTAGCATTAATTAATTAATTAGCATTTATTTCTTCCTGTGAATATACAAGAGATTTAATCAATTAAGGGAAAAAAATACAACAGAAATGAGGAAAATCTTGAGTATGAATTAATAAAATATAAACTTAAAACTTACTAATTTAACATTGACTCGGGTAGCATTTAAAAATGGTTGAATCGAAGCAAATTTAATTTTTCTCCTTTTAGTTTCTGACACAAACCTGTCGCATGTGTATTTCCAGAGCAAATAATGTCTAACTAGACACTCCTGATTCAAAAAATATTTAATAAAGTTACAGGAAAAAATTACAAACGTTCTTAGATTTATTGTGTAGCTCTGCTATGGGCATGATGCACTGACAGTTTCTGAAACTAAATATGAACCAAACTGATTTTCCCCATGAAAAATTTATAGCTATTCTCAATCATGACCACATATGACTGCCAGGCTATCTACATAAGAAAATGGGAAGGATGAGAGAAAGTCAGCCAACTGTGTCAGTAACAGGCTGCTATATTGAAAAATAGTAAGTGTATTAGTGATCTTTGAGAAAAAGTTTTAATACAGATGAGTAAGTGAGAAACCAAAGGACAGTGTGAGAAAAGCCTGGAAGATCTTACAAGTATGTCTTTGTAAATACAAGAATTCATCTATACCTTCTTTCCAATTTATTTCTTAAATTATCATGAAGTATGTCAGATCTCAAAAAATACATATATAATAATAATACCAGCCTAAAAAGAGAAAGAATCAAATATCCCATATTTATCTAAAATAAAACTGTATTTAAGCATAAAACAAAATACCCCCTAAGATTAATTGCAAAATCCAGAACAGGAGGGAAGTACATGTTAAGGAGGAATCTGGACCCACCTTGAAAATTTTAGAGCACTTACTGTAGGTAAATGGGACAGAAGCATAGAAAATTCCCTTGGCAGTCCTCCTACACCATCAAATGTCAGAGAGCCAAAAAATTATTGGATGCAAGTCAATGCTTCTCTCTCTCTCTCTCAGAATCAAAACCCTTCTGTTCTGCACCTGACTGTGTTCTTTAATGTTGACAGGAGGGTTGATTTTTCAGTTTCAGCCGTGCATGAAAGAAATGAGAATTAAAGGCTACCACTTACTTCTCAATCAAGGCAGAGACTTAGACAATTACTGATGTATTTGTACAAATTTGAGAGTAATAGTTAAGTCTTCTTTTAAAGCTACTGCAAAACAAAGATAAGAAAATCAAAACAGTTTCAATGAACGCTAGCCAACATTGGTATCGAAATACGACAAAGCAGAGGACTGACAATAATCACTTCTGAATTAAACATGCAAATCTGATTATAGTTGGGACAAGCAGAATTCCATGATCCATCATGAAGTTATAGTTATCTATAACAGCCAAGCTGCTGTAAACAAAGTCCCACTAAAAATAAACACATCAGTGAGTTAGGTACTACATGCTAGAATATGTTTCAAAAACAATTTGATCTGATTGAAACTAATTCTTAATAAAATATTATTAAACAGGCCTATCATAGATCCTTACTCCAAAGCACAGTGTTTCTATCTGAAACAGTAAACACTGATATAAAATAAAGAAGAATACTTGTTCAATTCAGAAAATTCAAAGAAAATTAAAGATGCATTTTCTAACATAACTGCAATATTTTTAATATCCTAACCCAGGAAGAAAGAGACAAATAAAAATAGCCATAACAAAAAAAGACAGAGGTAATGATTGTTTTTTGAATATTACTAAAACTAGTAATATTCCTATAGACTATCATTCTCCTCATGGCAGTCTAAAACATTCTCACATCACTAATAGAAAATTATGATAATTAAATATAATGATTTATATGTTTATAATAAAAATCAGCTTATGGTTTTAAAAATAAATGCAATAACAGATGTAGCCTGTGATTTATGGGATAGGATAAACTTCATCAGACAGTACTCAGTAAACTAGTTAATGGAAATAATCCGACCTAAACTTCAAAGTTGTATATGTCAGATTATCATCTAATTATGGTAATGAATACCTGGGATTAAATGATCAAGCTTAAAGAAATCTGAAAAATGTTGACAAGAGAGCAAGAGGAGAAATGCAACCTATGGGATTTTACAGAGTTAAACTATTAAAACAGTGGAAAACTATTCAGCCATAAAAACGGACAACATAACACCATTTGCAGCAACATGGATGCTCCTGGAGAATGTCATTCTAAGTAAGCCAGAAAGAGAAAGAAAAATACCATATGAGATCGCTCATATGTGGAATCTAAAAACAAACAAACAAACAAAGACATAAATATAGAACAGAAACAGACTCATAGACATAGAATACAAACTTGCGGTTGCCAAGGGGGCGGAGGGTGAGAAGGGACAGACTAGGATTTCAAAATTGTAGAATAGATAAACAAGATTATACTGTACAGCACAGGGAAATATACACAAGATCTTATGGTAGCTCACAGAGAAAGGAATGTGACAATGAATATATATATGTTCATGTATAATTGAAAAATTGTGCTCTACACTGGAATTTGACACAACATTGTAAAATGATTATAAATTAGCAAAAAAATGTTAAAAAAAAAAACAGTGGAAAACTTGTCAGATATTCACCTCATTACTTTCAGAGTGTAAGCTGTGGGTGATCTCGACTTAATCAGAATATTAACACGCAAGACTATTTTGTTTAAAACACATATTTATTATTCTCTTTATCTCTTTTCAGTCAGGACAGAATTCTTAAGCCTTTTTATAAACACACAAAAAGTTATCTTATTAGGCTTTCTCTCACCTCTGATTCCGAAGATAAAACATACTGTGGTAAGTATCAAACACAATTAATGGTGCAAAACCCTCTCCATAAAGCTGAAGAACTCAATTTTTAGGCAATTCTACCTATTATGTGTTATAAAAAGGCAATCATTTGATAGATGAAGGAAAGTGCTACCATACATGGTAAGTTCAGAAGCACCTAAAAAACACCCTGTATCTTCTTACCCCCAGAAGAAAGAAATCTCCCACGTCCCAAATTCCTGCTCCAATACCCAATCACTTCTCTGACAATTCCCTGGAATTTTGACCAAATTCCAAATGAGAGGTTCAATTGACATTAATAAAAAAGAAATATATTGAGGATTGGAAATTTTTATGATACTGTGTTCACCAATAGGTTTAAACAGATTCCAAACTCCAATCGTAAAGGAGTCTAATTATAGCATGGCTCATACATTAGATAATGGCTCAGACCTTTAATATGAGCTAAGAAATTAAAATAACACCGACTTCAAGTGTATTGTCAACCAAAACCAGAACCTTGGGCACGGAGAGAAGCAATAACAGCATTTTTATTCACTATGGTAGATTTGAGAACTACTTTACTATTATTAAACTCATAAACTGAAAATCACAAATTTCTATCTAAACAATTTTATCAAAAGGCAATTGAATGTGTACTTATTTTTATCATAATTCAGCCTCTCCACATTCTTATCCTTATCCACGTATATAGTTCTGCATGGTTGCCCTCCAACTTCCCTTGAATTCTGAGTTCTGTTTTTATTAAAAATCTTTGTTGTAGAGTTAATTAAATGTATTAGCAACTAATTTGGGGGAATTGGAAACTAAAAATAAGTAGAACTGAAAGCCAAGGATAC